ATTTGTTTTCTTTACTATTAAGTATGAAAAATGTAACATATTTCTTATGGCCTGTCAAATGTCCACATGCAACTTATTGGTGGGCTAAAGAAAGTCGTAAATATCATGCGGCTCGTCAAGGCCCACGTAGCAAGTAGCTATTTTTTTAGCTCATCCCAATTGAAAGCCCTATTCGTTTTCCACTAGCACACGTCAAACAATTTTATAATCACTACACTTTTTGTTTAGAGTCCATTTTTTGAGGTACAACCCATCTTTGGCATGCAATCATGGGCCTATGTCATTTACAAGTCAAACCATTTTTAGACCACACTGCTATAGAATTCATTTTCTTAGCGCGATTTTCACCGTCCATTGGTCAAAACCGGCACTAGCGCTTTTTTGGCTGGATGGGTCTTGGCGGCTGTTGTTGCAGGAATAGTCCATCCCCGTGGGCCGTGGTCGATAGTAAAACTTTTGCATAAATGCACAATTCTTTGTACTATCATAGAACTTGTAATTGATTGTAGGTATGTCAGTAGCTTCCAAAGATACTGGAACTGTTGGCCTTGGCTACACAATTTGGTAAAGCACACATTCTTTTCAAGGTATGCGTCTTGCGGTTTATAAAACAGGGTTCCATGTAAGTCTTTAGTCATGATCTACAGTTCAAAGTTAAACAGCCTGTTCGTTTGCTCGTAAACGATCGTAAATTTCCAGTCGAGAACTGTGTTTTTCTCTTACACCAAACCAGTTAGCAGTAAATAATCCACGATACGATACGGCCTCCCAAACAGGTTGTTAGTCTGTTTGCCGTCAATCTACTATGTTGGGCCTCTGAACTATGTCTTCACGACTTCACCATGTGCAGGAAAACAGAGATGGAAGTGCTAGTCAAAGTTAATGATCTGAAGAGGAGAATTGTTGGAACCGGTGATGAATGTTGAAGAGGAGAATTGTTGGAACCGGTGATGAATGTCTAAGTTAGCACGTGATTGGGAATAGTGTCTTCTTACAGTCAGTTCAGCTTCCTAATCTTGTAATAGAAACAGTAACCACTACATGTTCACTACTGTCCTCAACCATTGTGAGTGCAAGGCACTTTGGTCCAAAGGATCCATTTGGCAGGGCTCCTCCTCAAGTGCTCCTGGGAGGAGCCACTTTTGCGGCTCCGGTTAACGGCTCTGGCTCCTCTACTGTTTACGAGAAAATGGTTCATTCTCCTGAATTGTTTAGTACGGCTTATAGAAATTATTGTAGGAGCCAGAGCCATGCCAAACATACCTTAATTCCGAATTTGTTGATAGATAGTTCTGCCCTTCTGGGCCAATCCTTAGTTCAGTTTGGTTTCTTTTTCATTTCTTTGTTGAAATCCGGATTAATTCATTTGGATGAGCTTTGTTGTCCTAGTGACCCACAAAAGACCAAACTTGCATGGCTACTGTCATAATTAGCATTGTACTATTATACATGGGTTCATTGGATTATACCCCATTTGTTTCCAATTATAAGTTGCTTGACTTTTTTATTCATCCATTTGCAACAAAAAAAAAAAAGTTAGAGTACCTTATAATTTAGAACGGAGACATGCATAAATGGGTTCATGGCCAATTGCATCCCACATGAAAGTTTTAGGCTACCCACTACAGTATGTATTTCTGTAGGAGAGTCCAGTCTCAAAACTCTAAACAAAACATGCTGTCCACATGCGCGTGCACAGATGATTCTGCCCCTACCCGATCCAAGCACGAGTACAGCACGGTCATTCGCACCCATTTTCCTCGTAGACTCGTAGTTGTATTTCTGCGCCCATCCCCATCCTATCCTCTTTCTTTCTGTGCCAAAGATGTAACCCAGCTTAGTATAGTTCTATACAGTACTCAACCAATTTTTACCTCTATATACTCCCTCCGTTAAAGCACATCTCAATTTTCAAGGAGTTATATTTTTTAAAATTTAACTAAATATATATAGAGATATATCAATATTTATGATGCATAATAAGTATCATTAGATATTGAGTGTAGAATATACTTTTATAATAAAATTATTTGAGGCTACAAATATTGATATCGTCAAATTTAGAATAGTTTTTATCTCTAGTTTTTGTGTTCTTATTATCGAGGACACAACGACCACGGGCCGTCGCTGACGCTGTTGCTCCTGCTTGGCCTGTTGGTGGATTTTTCACTTGGGCCCAACGTATCCATCAGGCTAGGCCCAAGTCTAGACAGTGGCCCAAAAACAGTAAACAGCGATCGGCATCTTCTTCAACCTCCCTCGGCTGATGCTCCTCCAGTTCATCGCTTCCTCACACGACCTGAGCGGGTACTCGCGCCGGCGGCTATCTGGGGCGGCCGCCCCACCTCGCTGTTACGGTAGGTCCGCCCCCCTGGACCCGACCTGCCCCACCCAAGCTCCTCGCCGCGAATGCCGAGACGGCGGAAACCGACCGCGCTTCCGTCCGCCACCGCCGATTGACAATGAAACCCCCGCCCGCACTCCCCTGGATCTCCCCGCTGCAGTACCGAAGCCCCGCCCGTGGCGCGCCGCCTTCCCCACCGCCTCCCCCGCCTCCACCCCCTCCCACCCGGCCGCCGCGGTACCTCCACCACCCGGAACTCGCGCGCCTCATCGCGTCCTCCCCGTCCGCGCAGCGCGCGCTTGACCTCTTCAACGCGGCCTCCTCCCAGCGCGGCTTCTCCCACACGCCGGCCACCTTCTCGGCGCTCCTCGTCCGCCTCGCGCGCGCGCGGCTCCCGCGCGCCGCCGCCGCCGTGCTCCGCCGCACCGCCTCCGAGCCCTGCCGGTTCCAGGAGCCGCAGTTCCTGCCGCTCGTCCGCCTCCTCCCGCCCGACCACGCGCTCGCGCTCCTCCGCTTCCTGCCCGCGCTGCTCCGCACGAGCCGCGTCTCACACAAGGCGCTCGCCGTCTGCCTCGACCGCTTCGTCTCCTCCCGCGGCTGCCACCGCATCCTCGACGAGCTCCTAGCCGACCTGCGCGACCCCCGGAACAAGTACCTTCCAAGGCCTAACACGTGCGTCTACAACATCCTCATCAAGCACTATGTCAGAAACGGCAAAGGGGAGACAGCCTTCAAAGTGCTCGACGAAATGCGCGAGTACACCTGCGCAGACGTGAAGCCCAACTTGGTCACCTATTCAACATTGATCGGTGGGTTCTGCCGTGGGGGTAAGATGATGGAAGCGTTTGAGCTATTCGAGGAGATGATCGAGAAGGACCGCATTGTGCCGGATCAGCTGCTGTACAATGTGATAATCGATGGGTTCTGTAGACTGGGGCAGGTGGATAAGGCTCGTGCAATCTTTGGATTTATGAGGAAGAACGAGTGTGAGCCCAATGCCTTCAATTATGCCACGCTGATTAATGGGCACTGTAAGAAAGCAGACATTGAGGCAGCGAGATCGGTGTTTGAGGAGATGAGGGATGCTGGTGTGGAACCAGATGCTGTGAGCTACACTGCACTGATCGGTTGCCTTTGCAGACATGGAAGTGTGGATGAGGGTATCAATCTTGTTTTGGAGATGAAGCAGAAGGGGTGTAGGGCTGATGTTGTCACATACAATCTAGTGATTGAGGGGCTGTGTAAAGATGGGCGGACAGTGGAAGCAATGGACCTGCTTGAGAGTGTGCCGCTGGAAGGAGTTAAGTTGAACGTCGCGAGCTATCGGATCTTGATGAACTGCTTGTGCTCCCGTGGGGAGATGGACAAGGCAGCTGGCTTGCTGGGACTGATGCTTGGACGAGGGTTTCTACCTCACTATGCAGCGTCAAACAACCTGTTGATTGGTCTATGTGATTCTGGGCGCATAGCAGATGCTACAATGGCATTGTATGGGTTAGCTGATGCAGGCTTCATGCCAGAGGCTAGATGTTGGGAGAGACTTGTCGAGACTGTGTGCCAGGAGAGAAAGCAAAGGAAATCCACTGAGTTACTAGATGTCTTGGTTGGTGTAGGTTGAGGTCTTGAGGAAAGGAACTGAAACTCACAGCAGACAGCAACCAACAGGGCCCCATTTGCACTACAGGTTGAAGAGAAGACTGCCAGGCAGACAGCAACCAACAGGGCCTGACACAAACTTCTCTTTCAGAACAAGCTACTACATCCAGAAGATATCAAACCATAAAGGCACAACGACCGCATAGACTTATTCATCATTCTCCAAAGAGTTGTCATTGGAGAGGTAGTCCAGGATGAGGGATGGCGAGAGTTGTCTTTGGAGAGGTAGTCCAGAATGAGGGAGGGCGTAGACACTTGGAGGAACCTGCCTCGCGGCCGTTGGCTCTGGCAAACAGACGTCCACTGGGGCCAGTGATCTTCAGCGGAACCATTTCTGCTACAAAAAGCTTCAGCAGGGCTGGCGATTGAGCCCGGTTTGGACTGAAACCACAACCATCAAAAGAGTCCTATTTTAATAGGAAGTGGGGCGTGACTTCTTTTGACAGTTAAAATATTTCCCTCATTTCTTTACTACTACTATATGGACCTAGTGCTAATTGTATTGGCTCCTTTTTTGAGGTAACACAGGCATGGTCCATGATTGTTTCGTGGTTTAAATAAATAGGGGGCAAGTTTTGGTCCAACCTTTGTTAATGTCTGATGTAATTTGTCACGAAAGACTGCCACTGTAATGTTCCAAAATGTCGCAGCAGTCAGCTTAGTGCAGCAACTACTTGCAGTTCCTCAATTCTCATTACATTCTCCCTTTAAATTAAACAAGTTAACGAGTAACGACACTTGCTTGACACCTCACAAATAAGGACACTGACTAATTTATTCAACCAACCTTTCATCCATAAATACTACTGTATCAGGCAGCACGAATACGTCAACACTGTGTAAATCCACCAATTAACGATAACTTACAAGCACGCGCAACAAATTGGACAGGAGGAATAAGAGGTGGCATGCAGAGAACGAAGACGAAAGGAGACCACACATCGGTGTGGATTGGTCGATGGGACAGCAGCAGCAGCGCCGGCGTCCGGGCGGCGGCGGGTCAGTCGTCGCGGCAGGCGGAGCTCTTGGGCTTGACGACGAACTTCATGTTCCCCATGGTGCAGTGGATGCCGCCGCGCTCGCCGCACACGAAGTAGTGCTGCTTGCGCTTCTTGAGCACGAACTCGAATCCGGTGCCGGCGCCCTGCATGACGTTGGCCACCAGCTTGGCCGCCTTGAGGTTGCACGACTGGTAGTCCGCGGCGTTGCGCATCAGGTAGACGCTGTGCGCGTGCACCGTCGCGTTCGGTGGGTCGTACATGAACACTGCAGGTGCAGTGCAGGGGATCGTAATTTCTATGCGTTCAATTCATAACTTACAAGAAAGATCGATGATATATACTTGTGCGTGGAGTACGTACCCAGGGTGTCGTTCTGGAAGAATGGTCCCTTCCTGATGACCCAGTCCGTGTAGTTGTACCCCCACGTCCACCGCGCCGCGTCGCCGACGATGAACCGCTCCGCGCGGGACGTCTCGGGCACGAGCACCACCAGCAGCGCTACCACGGCCACGGCCACGAGCGCTGCGCTGCTCCTCGCCTCCATCTATCTCAGTTCTGAACTCCGGCGTACCGTACTAACAAAGCTCTCTATATGTCACACGTATGAACGTACTGCACGCAGACAGGCACCCAGTTATTAGCTGCTGCTATGTGCTACGTACACTTGTTAGCCGGCCGATTGGACGCTTCGTTGGGTTTGTTTGTGGCTGGTATGACATGGCGGAACGCCGATCGAGCAAGTATATATAGGAGCAGGGGCCCGGGTTGGACAACTTGCTTGATGGATCAGCCAGGAGTCAGGACGCGCGCGTAATGATGTCGCAAAGTTGACCGCTCCATGTCAGGGGAGAGCTCGATCGCCCCTCGCCGTTTTGGGGCCGGGAGAGACCTGGAAAAAGGCGACGTGCCAAAGCCAAGTCGTCGTTGGTTCCGGATCACACGATCGGCCGGCGACGTAGTTTTCGGTTAAAGCGGCACCCCCACTTGGCGTGAACACACAAGGCCCGGGCGGCCATTGCTGCTTGGTGCGCCATTAGCGAGCGTGCTTAGTGGCAGTGTTCGCTGGGCCGCCCGCCCGGGGGTTGGTGGGAGGTGGAATTCGGCATCATCTACTAGCTAGCTACTACTGCTACAGTCCTACGCTTAATTTGCCGTCGCCTTTCGCGTATGCCGCAGCAGCAGGCGCGCGGAAGACTGGCTGGCAGAGTGCGTGTGTTTTGTGTTCCCTTGGTGCGGGCCCTTGGCATCATTACTGTAGAGGATAATGGCGGTGTGAGATGATTAGGCCGGCCGGCCGATCGGTCGTATGTAATTAACTGGAAGCAACATACATTACCTGTATAGTCGTCGTCGTCCATGCATGCTTCATGATCACGTCATGCTGAGAGTGCTACTTCTTTCAGTACGTAATTCAGTAATTAGTAGTCCATGTGTCGATCACGACCACCGTCAGACGCTTAAAGGTCAGCTTGTGGTCAAGAATTATTCGTCGTCGACGTATTCAGCACGGGATCTGACTATTTAATTTGTTGGCACTTAGCTTGTTGGAGCAGTACCCGAAAATCGCTTACCTTTGAATCTTCAGTGTGCTCCTCAGAGCTCAGATACATAGACATGTTTAGCTTTGGGATGCAGACACGGCGGATTTTGATTTGTCGGTCCGTAATGCGTGCACGTTCCAACAATCACAGCGTTAAGGGAGGAGATCACAGGCTTGCTTGCTTCTAGTTCTAGCGTTGCGAAAACTGCCGGAAGAACAGCGCGCACTCTCGGCGTCACGCCAACGCCAGCGTCGCCTAGCGTCCTAGCCTCCTCCCCATCTGTATTCCGCAGCACAGCAGCGCGTGGTAGTACTACCCGGAAAGTGTACGGCATCATGATCGAGTGAGCTGTTGTATTCGAGTCTTCTTCGATCGTTTCACATGCGAGAGGTCACCTGCTTACACACCCACATGAAAACTGCACTACGCGCAGTGCTCGCGTAGGCGATGTCGTACACACAAGCGCGTTTCGGTGGTGCAGTACGTGGCTTGCAAGACAAGGCTAAAACGTGCGGAGCTCAATGATCTCGTAGCGTGTCCATGACTCCATGATAACACACAGTATATACGTACATTGTTAGATAGACTGCAACTCTTTCGGGACCGGCCACATTCCGAAAGGGGTTGCATAGAGTGCACACCGCCACCCGCTGTATTTCAGCCTTCAGGCTGGCTGGCCACCATTTTGTTTACTTGCTTGTGGTACTGGTACATGCTGTTTCCATATATATGACTACGAGGAATGATTAGGATAATACGTGAAAAATAATTCAAGGGACCAAAGTGTTAGATACCACTACGTCAGTGTCGGTGTTTCGTACAAGCACCGGCAAGTGAATTTATAGTAATGCGCGTTAGACTCGGATGGTGCGCTAAAGGACACAGAATTTATACTGGTTCGGGCGAAACGTCCCTACGTCCAGTTTGTTGCTGCTTGTGTTATTAGCACCGTAACGATCTGTAGTAAGGGATACAAACTGCCGAGAGAGGGAGCGGTCCCAAGTCTCTGATCGAAGGATTAAAAGGTGGTCAAGAGCTTCGTAGCTGCTTGAATGTGTGTGAGTGCGCTCTATTGTTTTTGTCCTCCTTTTTTTTCCGTCCCCTTTGATGGAAGAAGCGCATCCCCTTTTATAGACGAAGGGGCCGGCTTTACAAGGGTAAGGGCTCCAGGACGCGTACTCTACTTAGTCTTGTGGCTCACGTCTACCTGGTCAGGTCCTCCACTCTGATGAGTGCGAAGGAAGATAAGTGTTTACAATGTTGTCGATGTCTCTGTAGGATGTCAGGTTAGTCACAGAATGCTGCCCTGCGCAGGATATGGGCTGCAGTACAGTGGTTTTGACTTATGAGCCTCCCCCAGCCTTGCTCCGCACGCCTTCAGGTTCTCATGAGTCCTCGTTGGGAGAATGCGGGGTCGGGGTCCGGTGTAACGCCGTGGTCAAGGCCTTCATTTGGGAGGACCGAGGGGTCGGGAAGCGGCGCGCCCTCGGGTCCACCGTGTGGTGACGGAATACCCATCGTTCGTGGAGATAGCAAATCCTTTCCGGAGCGTAGCGGTTGTCGATATCTTCGTCGGGTTCCGTGTCCCGAGAGTGAAGGCGGCGCCTACAACTCTGAGGTGAGGTGCACGACTGTAATACCTTTTGGGCTCTGCGGTGCCCGAAAGGGTCTAAAGCTTTCGATCCTGTGCGTTCCTGGCAGTCCTTTTCCTGCCAGGGCGCAGGGTATGGTCGTTGGAGCCATGGTTGACCCGAACGTCTTGTCTCGTCCTGTACCCATTATTATGAGGGATAGATATCGATCAGGGCGAGGCTCGTTCTGGGCCGTCGGGTGAGGCTGACCCCGCCCCTCCGGGGTCGGGCGAGACGGAATCCATCCCTCAGCCCTCGGGCGAGACCGAGCCCGCCCTCAAGGCGTCGGGCGAGGCGGAGTTTATCCCTCGGCCCTCGGGCGAGACCGAGCCCGCCCTATAGGCGTCGGGCGAGACGGAGATTAGCCTTGAGCTTTTGGGGCGAGGCAGGGTTATCCTACAAAGGTGTCGGGTAAGGTCGACCCCCGCCCGAGGTCTGGGCGAGACGGAATTCATCCCTCAGCCCTCGGGCGAGACCGAGCCCGCCCTCAAGGCGTCGGGCGAGGCGGAACCGAACTCCTGTTACTCGAACAAGGGATGACATGGAGCCCTTATGCATCTAGAAGTTTTTCACGTTCGGTGGTCATCGGTTCCACCTTCTGGGGTACCCTGGTATTAGATCCCCGACAGTAGCCCCCGAGACTCCAGGTGATTCGGGTAGAACCGCCTGGAGGGTGTTTTTCCGAGTGGGTCGTGGCGTCCTGTTTACTGGGGACTGATTCGGGGCCGTCCTCACTGGTGCTTCTGCCCTTGGTGGCGGATTGTTCGTGGATTCCTTCTTAGTTGGGCCGGCCGGCGAGTTGCTGGGCCCTAGGTGGGCCAAAGAGAAAAGAAACGGGCCTTTGTGGCTTGTGCTTCCCCGGTGGGTGGAGAGTCCGGATTCGCTTGGGGAAGGCTAACCGTCCGCCGAGATTTTTTGGGATGAGAGGATAGGGACTGCGCGCGCGTGTCCCGCGACGTGACGCGGTGGCATGCGTGGCGAACCCGGGGAGATCGAGGCGGACGGTTGCCCTTCTCGCGTCCGTCGCCTCCTATAAAACCGCGGGGTTCGCCCCCAGGGTCCCGTGTTTCACTCCCCTTTCTTTGCGTTCTGAAACATCCGCCGCCAATCTTCCCAGCCTCTTGCGCCCGCATCGCCACCGTCGACCGGCCTGCGTTTGTGTTTCGGCCGCCGTTAAGCTCGCGCCTGCCCTTCCCCCCTCCTGTTTCAATGGAGTTGTGGGGCAGATCAAGCATCACTTCCCGGCGTCTGGAGGGCCTCGTCCGCCGTGGCCTTCTCCGCCCACTATCCGCCGTCCAGGAGTGGTTACTCCCCGGCGACGAGGGTGAGCCGGTGCCGCCTGAAGGGTATGTCGTCTCCTTTGCCATCTTCCATGAGCGGGGATTCGGGGTACCCGCGCATAGATTTCTTCGGGGGCTATTAGATTACTATGAGGTAGAGCTGCAGCATCTCACTCCCAATGGGATTCAGCATATGGCGGCGTTCGTTGCCCTGTGCGAGGGTTTCCTGGGGATCGATCCCCATTTTGATCTGTGGCGGTATTTCTTTAGAATTAGTCTGTCGAAGAGGAAGATTGGGGGGAAAGAAGTGGATGCGCCGATGGGGTGTGCCAGCATTCACCTGCGCCATACCCGGTCGAAGGGTTACCCGTACATGCGTCGGCTACATCCAACAAGGGATGGCATTCACGGTGGTTTTATGTTAGGGATGATGTGAGTGCCACCCTCACCAAGTACACCGGACGTCTTATTGTGGGTGCCTCGGCGCGTGTAAATTTGGGCGCCCGGACTAAAGAGAAAAAGCACATCTCCGACCTTCTCTCCGCCCTCCATGCCTGAAGGGTCGGGGTGTAAAGGGGTCGGGATTATCGGTGCCTACCACGCGAGGAGGGTGGCGCCACCGATGGCGCTGCGGTGCTTCCCCCCCGCACCGGATGGCGCTTGGATATCGTTCGAGGGGACGGTGCTCGTTGACGAGGCGCTCCCTTATTCGGAAGTGGCGCAGCGTATCAAGGAGGCGACGGAGCCGACGAAGGATTCCGCCGGCAGGGTCCTCGACATCGTGTATCCGGTGCCCGGGCATCCTCCAATGCGGCGGAGCTCGGGTTCTTCAATTCGTAAGCCCCTTCTCCCGCATTCTTTTCTTTCTCCTGAATCTCCTCTTTAACACTTGCTTCGTAATGTTGGGGCTAGCCGAGGGGCTAGTCTTCAAGGATAGCCAGATCCCGCCGCCGAAGGACAAGGTTGTGGCGGTGGGGAATCGACTCGCGGCCGGAGCGGGACAAGGAGGCAAAGGAGGAGATGAAGAAGGTAAACGACTCAAGCAGGAGGCACGGGATCGGGGAGAGGACGTGAGCAGTGAGGATGACGATG